GGACGACTCCCCTAACCACTCCGCCACAGCCACCCCGCATTGAAGCAGTCATTTCTGCAAAATGTCATTTCTGACTTTTTTTGTATTAAAAACACTTTTCTTTTATTGGTCGGATGAAATATGCTAATTTTTTGAGATAGGGATTTTTGGTTTTTCTTTACTTTTTTGCCAAAATCATCAATTTTAAAACAATAAATTGCCTGAACTACTTCAGTTGGTGTGCAATCAATCTAAAATATATGAAAGTTTAATGTTTATCAGTACATTACAGAAAATAATGAACTTTATCACAATATGCTAATTTTTGAGAAGAACACTCTATATTCCCATGGGGACCTTCCATTGACTTCCATTCATRTTTTTTAGTCTTTRTWTCCTAACCTTGACCATTTACMCTAAAATTAACCTCACAGGTTCACCTCACCTGACCCTAAAACTAACCTAAACCTTGGTCCTAAACCTAACCCACACCTGTAATTTGCATTTGGACATGTTCGGTCCCCACGAGGCTGCTTTTTCAGGAAAATTGTCCCCCTGATGTGGGAGAAACAAGCCCACACACACAGAGTTTCACTGTAGTAACACATCAGAGTTTTCACAAGTCAAACTCTTAATGTCTGTCAGAGCCCAGCACAGCTGCACAGCGTSTGAATGAGTTCTCCTCTCATCCTTCTGTAAATCAGAACAGCTCAACGTTTGCAGCTGTTTCAGTTTTCATCACAGGAAATGTTCAGCTGTTTGGACGGGCTGTGGTAAACTAATGTTTTTTATGAACACCAGTACAGTAAAAAAGAAAAACAACCATCATGAAGACGAGCAGAGATCATTAGTTAATCCACTGTAATCTGATCAGATTGACCTGATGAGGAGGCTGAGCTCAACAAACATCAGTTCATCAGACATGTTTATCACCAGCTATGTTTACATGCACAAACTTTTTGATCGGATTGAAATGTATTCAGATTAAATAATCCGAATGTACTGTTTACATGGACACAATCTGATCATGACAAGTGTTTACATGCACCGGAGTTTTAGTCAGAATAAAAGTCCGGACATGCACAGTGTTGTAAACGTTCAGCTCTACTTCCCTGTTACAAACGTAAACAAAGCTCTTCTGTGCCTCAGGTCTGACCCGTGTCAGCTTTTAATAACGGTAGAGAYGTCGTTACTCCTCGGCTGAGCTGCAGATGAAGCAATACGTGTTTTTTATTTTTATTGTTAGCGAAGCAACATCTGCTGTTTGCCTCTTTWTATCTGTTAAGGGTGCGAGGAGGAAAAGTTCTGCACAGCACAGCTGGAGCGCTGCTGTCCCACCTCCTCTAAAGAGCAGAACCGGGTGGATAAAAATCAGAAAACATGCGCACTCAGGTCAGTTTTCTACAGTCAGAATAAGATGATCCGAATAAGTGTTTACATGAACCTCATTCCGATTATCAAATCGGCATAACCCACCCGACTCTTTCRGATTAAAAATTCATTCGGATCGAGCTCAGTCAGATCAGAATAATCGGAACGGCTGTTTRCATGACAAATTTTTATTCCGAACGACCGTTTAATCCGATTACTTATGTCCATGTAAACATAGCTACTGACATGTGTTTACCATTCAGCAGGTTTGATACATCACTTCAAGTAGACAGTGGAGGCCTGTGAGCTGCTTCCTGTATACATGTTCAGGGGTGCTGTGAGGAAAAGGCTCCCCCCATAACCAGCTGACTGGTGGACCTAACCTAACATGTTTAAAAGCAGTATCTGGGTTCCTACAGTTTAAAGCAAGTTAAATTTAAAAGGGATCCCCGATTAGTTGTAACATTAGACTTTATTTGATAAACATATATTTTAACTGTAAAATAAAGACTAAAAATACTGTAGGATGTTTAGTTTTGTAAATTTTAAAAAATATATTTTAACACGGACGGAGCCATTGTATTTACACACAAAGCATTCTGGGTAAATGATGATGTGGATAGGTCCTCGGTGCAAGGCTGCTAGCGAGCTATATCC